GGCGGCAAGCTGCCCCGGGGGACGCGAAGGCACCGCGAAGCACCGCCAAGGCGGCGTCCACTCGACGCCACTCACTCCAGGCACGATTGACAAATGACGAGTCACGGCACGGCTGGCAGGTGGACACGTCAGTCCGTCCGTCGAGGCGGTCGAGATGACACACTCACACACACACAGACAGACACAAACACACAAACACGCGCGCACGGCGGGGAAATGCGCTGCAGACGGGGTCCGTTTAGCGAGTGACTTGGTTAGTTTTAAACGCCGCGGGGGTCAAAGTCTGCGTCCGCGCGCTGGCCGGGCCGAGGGCCGGGCCGACGGCGAGCCTGCGGGCCGCGGGATTGTGGATCGTATCGGGGGAGATGGAGAGCCACTGCCACTGTCACACAGTGGGCCAGAAGATCGGTGGAGGCGGCCAAAACACTAGACGCGTTTTGAGCTACAGAGTCGCTAAACAGGACTCGAACCGAACGTGTGACCCCACCAATGGAGTCCTCGTTCGGAGAGCAATCCATTGGTGGGGTCACACGTTCGGTTCGAGTCCCATTTAGCGACTCTGGAGCTCAAAACGCGTCTAGAGTTTTGGCCGCCTCCACCAGCTTCTGGCCCACTGTGCACTGCCACTGTCACCACCCCGGTCACGCCGGAGAGTCGCAGAGTGCACTTGTGAGGCTTTGGCGTTGGAACTAAACCCCTTTCAGAGCCCCGCGGCTTGGGGACGCATGACGGACGAGGGGGCGGGGCGGGGGCGCTATGGGGGATGCGATTACTGCGCCCCCGAGGGACGGCCGACGACGGCCGTTCCCACAGGCGGGGAAAGTGGGGTCGTGCACACAAACACAAGTATGACTCACACATACACACACACACACACACACACACACACACACACACACACCACACACACAGATGCAGACACACGCACAGGCGCGGCGCAAGCTCGTTATCGCGCCGCTTCCAAAAAGGCCCAGGAACACAGACACACACACGAACACACACGAACACACACGAACACACACACACACACACACACACAGTCCCACGGCGACGCATCCCGGCGGGCGCCTCGGCGCATTGCTCTCGCTGCTATCGATGCAGCAGTCCCTCGATTTGTGCTGCTCGGGCCACTTTCAGGGTCACGCCGCCCTGAGTCCCGCCGCGCCCCGCCGCGCGTGTCCTTATCTGGGCACGTGGCGGGGCGAGGCGGGGACTCAGCTCCACTTTTGGAGCTGGTTCCAGCGGTAACTATTGAAAGCCGCTACAGGGAAAGATTCCCGGCATTCCATGTGGAACGCTACACACAATTATCTCCCCCGCGTTACGTGGTTTGTTGCACAGGTCTATTCCCGGCGTCCCTGGGCTGGCGTGGTTGCCGCTGCCTTGGTGCTGCCTTGGGGCCCAGGGCCTGGGGCACTGCTACCACAGTGTAGTGCCACCACTCTACCAAAAATGTCCTGTAAATGCCGTTAATTTATTACCAGTTTTCACTGTAGGTCAATTCACAGCGTTTGCTGTGAACTAGTTCACGGCGTTCACTGTGATCTCGGTTACAGTGTTCACTGTGATCTGGTCCCCAGTAAACACTGTGAGATTGACGCCGCTGAGCACTGAAGTACTGCAAATCAGGCTCCAATTCACGGCGTTTACTGTGGCCAGATCACAGTGAACACTGTAACCGAGATCACAGTGAACGCCGTGAACTCGTTCACAGCAAACGCCGTGAATTGCATAACAGCAAACATTGGTAATAAATTAACGGCGTTGACAGGACATTTTTTGTAGAGTGACTGCACGTCGCGCCGCCAGCACGCCACGTCGCTTCGCACCTCGCTTTCCGAATTCCTCATCCGCGTCCTTCGTCTCCTCCATCGACAGGCGTCGTCTGCTCGGCGTCGTCTGCTCGGCGTCGTCTGCTCGGCGTCGTCTGCTCGGCGTCGTCTGCTCGCCGTCGTCTGCTCGCCGTCGTCTGCTCGCCGTCGTCTGCTCGCCGTCTGCTCGGCGTCGTCTGCTCGGCGTCGTCTGCTCGTCGTCTGCTCGCTGGCGCCGCCTCGGCTGCCTCTGCCTCGTGCTTGGGCCTCTCATTGCCATAACTCAATCGCACTGATAGTGTGTGTACGTTGCGGTTCACTGAGGTTCACTGGCCGCACGGCGCTTAGCGCCGCAGCGCTCATTCGGTCCGTCTCTCTCGCACCCATACGGGACGCCGCCTCATTTAGTGCGAGAGAGAGAGAGAGAGAGAGGGGGGGGGGCTCTCGGAAAGAGTCCGCTGCGCTGCTGCGCTTGGGCGCGCTTCTTGCATCATGATGCGGGCCTTCAGGGCCTTCGCCCGTAAGCCGAGCCGCGGATGCAGCCTGCCGCGCCGCCGCGCCGCTACCGCCATGCCGGAGGGGCGGGAGCGGCCGGAGCCCGCACCGGGGAGGGGGGTGCACAGTGGGCCAGAAGACCGGTGGAGGCGGCCAAAACTCTCGACGCGTTTTGAGCTCCAGAGTCGCTAAGCAGGCCTCAAACCGAACGTGTGACTCCACCAATGGATTGCTCGTGCGGAGAGCAATCTATAGGTGGGGTCACCACACGTTCGGTTCGAGTCCCATTTAGCGACTCTGGAGCTCAAAACGCATCCAGAGTTTTGTCCGCCTCCACCGGCCTTCTGGCCCACTGTGGGGTGGGGCTGAGGGGTGGGGCGGGGGGGCGGGGTTGAGGTAGGGCTCGGGAGTGACTCATGCAGGGCCGGCGGCGGAGGGCGGAGCGCGGTGCGGCTTGCAGGGAAGGGGACATGCACACGCACACACCGACGCACAGACACGAGCACACACACATTCTCAGACCGCGCCGCAGAGGCCCGTCCCAGAGGTTACTGCTCGCTCCACTCTCGGCGGCCCACAGTGTGCCCACAGGCCGGCCGCGGCCGGCCGGCCAGTCTTGGCGACCAAATCAAAGTCGCGGATTCCATTACTTTTATCGCGTTTCGTTATCGAAGGCCGGCCTCGCCAAAGCTCACGCACACACGCACACATACACGCACACACACACACACACACACACACACACACACACACACACAGGCGCACGACACGCACTGGCCACTTTGGCACTGCTAGGGTCGGCTAGGTGCGTGGGGGCGGTGGCTCTTTGCGTGGGAAGTGGAGACGCCGAGATAAGCGGACACGGCGGACACACCCCCTTCAGGCCGGGGCGGGGTGGGGGCGGGGTGGGGGCGGGGTGGGGGCGGGGTGGGGCGGGGCGGGGCGGGGCGGGGCGCCCAATCCGCCCGGAAGCGAGTCATCAACTGGCGTCAAATAAGTAAGACTCGCCGCACAGCGCGCGTACCCGGTATGCTGAGGTTGGCGGCGTCGTGCTGCAGCCTGCTGTGCCGCGAGCGCGCGCGCGCGCACACACACACTCACACACACACGCACACACGCACAGGTTGACACGGTCGGCGACGGCAAGGAAATTTCCTGCCACCAGACGCGGCCTACGGCTGGGCACGCTCACGGCGACGACGAGGAGGAAAGTCCCTGCAGGCTGGCTGATTCCGAAGGGGGAGGTCCTCTCTCTCTCTCTCTCTCTCTCTCTCTCTCTCTCTCTCTCTCTCTCTCTCTCTCTCTCGCACCAATACGGGACGCCCGTCTCGAGGGCGCCGGCGTGGTGACCGGGAATGCGGTGCTGGCGGGTAAAGACGTAAAGACGCGGTGCTCGGGATGCTCTAGGGTCCGCTTCAGTCCCACCAGAACCGATATATACCTGTATATACCTGAAGAGGACGAGCCGTTCTAATAAAGGGGGTGTCAACTCCCTCCAGACGACGCCGAAAAGACGACGACGACGGCAGAGAAACTCCTGCAGACAGGACGACAGGGACTCGAGACGGTGCCGAGACGGCGCTCCGCCCTTTGCTGTCGTTACCCTACGCCGTCCGGCCGGCCGTCCCACACAAAGAGAGGTAGCGACGCGAATCTAGCGACACTGCCGAGCACGACCTCAGCGCGCGCGCGCGCGTGTGTGTGTGTGTGTGTGTGTGTGGTGTGTGTGTGTGAGAGAGAGAGAGAGAGAGAGAGAGAGAGAGAGAGAGAGAGAGAGAGAGAGAGAGAGAGAGAGTGTGTGTGTGTGTGTGAGAGAGAGAGAGAGAGAGAGAGAGAGAGAGAGAGAGAGAGTGGTGGGAACCGGCGAGCCATCGACAACATTGGTTCTCATTTGCTGCGCTTTACCCCGCCCCGCCCCGCCCCGCCCCGCCCCGCCCCGCCCCACACGTCCGACGGCAGGTACTTGTTGTCCTAGGTCGGCGCGTCCGCCTCCTCCGCAGTCCCTCCAGTTTGCTCCAGAGGTCCTTTCCAGCGCTTTCTCCTGCTGCGCGCGGCCTCACACACAAACACGGACCGCGGCGGTCAAGCCTCACCCGCACCTCGAAGACCTTAAGGACCTTTAGCCGGGCGCGCGTGAGGTCATCGTCGGGCAGGCCGTCGTGCACGCGGCGCTGCTCGGCCGTGCGGGGGCGGGCCTGGCGGGCTTGGCGGACGCGTGTGCAGCACGGCTTGCGTCACGCGAGCCTCCGAAGACCGATCGGCCGGACGGACGGGCCGAGAAGCACCGAGGTTCGGCAGTTCGGCGACCAAAGCGAACGGTTCTTCGCAGAAGCGCGGCACAGTGGGCCAGAAACCGGCGGAGGCGGCCAAAATTCGAGACGCGTTTTGAGCTCCAGAGTCACTAAGCAGGACTCGAACCGAACGTGTGACCCCACCAATGGATTCCTCGTCCTGAGAGCAATCCATTGGTGGGGTCACACGGTCGGTTCGAGTCCCATTTAGCGACTCTGGAGCTCAAAACGCGTCTCGAATTTTGGCCGCCTCCGCCGGTTTCTGGCCCACTGTGCGCGGGGCAAGCCCGCCAGCGGCCGGCACCTGTCGCCCCCGGGGGTCCTTTTGTTGTTGCTGCTGCTGCAAGGCTGCTGCTGTTGTTGTTAAACGGGTGGCCCTGCAGCGCAAACTCCAGAAACTCACCGGTGCGGCGGCGGTGCGACGGTTCCCCGGCGGTGCGTGCGTCCTGCGCCTTCCTCACGACGGCCGGTGCATTTCTCCGGAGCGGCTCTCGCACCTCTTCCCGGGAAAGAAATTGGCACCAGTTCCTGAGACGACGCGACAACGCACAACACTTTTCTTCCAGGCACTTTTTAAGCGGTCTTGTTTACTTCGTTGCTTGCTGCACACACAGGCAGATAGACACGCACACAAACACACACGCGCACGAGGCGAGACTCGTCCCGGCGAGAGGGACGCTCTGCTTCGCTCTGCTTGCCGCGAGTCGCGCGTGTCTTGGCCGCGGAGGCCGTCTGCTCCTGCACGCGAAGCACGCGCACTGTAAGTCGCGCTCGACCGCCGGCCGAACACTGACTGAGCTGGCGGCTGGCGCTGGCGCTGGCGGCAAGCGAAGTCGGCCGCCACCCTGCCTGGCTGCCTGCCTGACTGCCCGCCAGGCTGCCTGCCCGCCAAGCGGAGCGCGGGGCCGCGGGGGATTGAAAGGGAGGGGGCGGGGAGACGCCGCGGTGCCGTGGTCCAGCCGGAAAGCATCCCGTCAATGGGGGATTAGTGAGAGCACGCCGGCCATTCAAAGGTGTTTTAATTCATTCGGCTTCAAGCTTCTTGTGGTGCAGTGCTGCCACATCAGTAGGAAAACATTCTCTTAGTACAGCCGAAGGGTTGCCAACCGCGTCCTGCCGACCAGACAACTTCTCGACAACGAAGCCAAGATATTGCCTAAAGACAGGGTTACGTTTTTGGCAAATCCTTTCGTGCATGGTGATAATTTTCGTTAAGGCTTCAGGCTTAGACAGGTCTAAGGCTTCGGAGAGCAATCCATTGGTGGGGTCACTCGTCCGATTCGAGTCCCATTTAGCGACTCTGGAGCTCAAAACGCGTCTAGAGTTTTGGCCACCTCCGCCGGTCTTCTGGCCCACTGTGGGTCGGTCTTCGTCCACGCGCGCGTACGCGGTCGTCCACCTTGGGCGACGCGACGGAGGGAGGGAGGCACTCCGTTTGGAACGGAACGAGGAGTCGAGATATTCTAATTGCCGCACACTCATCCGGGCCAACGACGCGCCGACACGGCCGCGCTCTCGGAAGGCCCGGAAAGCCCGACGCCTTCCATCATTACATCCATGTTCTCCGAAGTCGGCTTCGCGCGGGGGCGCGCCGCGCCGGCCCGGTCCCGCAAGGTATATGCTCCCCGAAATTAATAATTATTATTCAAAATGATTTTCGGAACGCAGGCGGCCGCGGCGGCGAGCCAGCAGACTCCTTCAGCAGGCGGGGACACCGGCAGAGGCTTTCTTCACCACGACGGTGACGACATCCACGACGTCCAGGACGACTCGGAATCCAGCAGCAGCGGCAAGGGAGGCTGTTCGTTCACCCAGAAAAGCTCGAGTGTACACTACATGCACAGTGCCAAGTACACTGCCAACGCGGCGCGCTGCTCTGGCGGAAATGATGCCGCCGTCGCGGTGGTCTTCTCCTTCTCGAAGCACAGCGCCGGGGGTCGCATAGGGTTGCCTCACGCGGCCGTGACGCACAGGGAAGCCCTGCAGCAGCAGACTGATTCCCGAAGTCATTTCCATCGGTCTGTCTCTCTCGCACTCATGGAGCGTCCCATAAAGGTGCGAGAGAGACAGAGCGACGGTTCTCGGAATCAGTCTGCAGCAGGGCGTGCGCGCGCAGAAGGCCCAGAAGGCCCTGATGGAGGAGGCGTGCCGCGCGTAATGGTCCTGCTGGACATGATGAATGGGACGCGCGGCGCGGCGGGGCGATTCGGCCAAATGCGTCCGAGGACGATCACGCCGTCGCCGTGCTTCCTGCGTGTTGACATCGCCGAGGTGCGCGGCGGCGCGGCGGTGCTGGAGGAGCCAGACAAGACCGACGCCGCGGCGACGCGGCGGGGTTGCGCGCGCGACCCTTAGCGACCAGCCATATTAATCCGGTTGCAAAACCCGGATCGAAACCGCACGAACCGGGACCGGCGGCGGCCTGGCCGGCCGGGGCCTGGCGGCCGGTGGCCGCTCCGCCCCGCGCCGCTGACAGTGTGGTGCGTGGCGGCTATTTCGAGACATCGGCCGGCCGGCCCGCGTCCGCACGTCGCGCCGGGCCGTCTTGTGCCCGGTGCCGCCCTGGGCATGCCTCGCGCTTCGGACCAAACGCCCGAATCAGGCACTTTTCCCACTGCGTTCTTGTTTTTTGGCCGTGCGGCCGCCGGCGCGCCCGTGCGAGCGCAGAGAGCAGTGAATGAGTGGGCGTAGCCGCACAGTGGGACAGAAGACCGGCGGAGGCGGCCAAAACTCTAGACGCGTTTTGAGCTCCAGAGTCGCTAAATGGGACTCGAACCGAACGTGTGACCCCACCAATGGATTGCTCTCCGAACGAGGAATCCATTGGTGGGGTCACACGTTCGATTCGAGTCCTGTTTAGCGACTCTGGAGCTCAAAACGCGTCTAGAGTTTTGTCCGCCTCCACCGGTCTTCTGGCCCACTGTGAGCCGTCGAGGAGGTGGCCTGGTGGCGAGCACTGCAGACCTGCAGACGGACTGCGAGAGCCGTTTTCGTCGCTGTCTCTCTCTCGCCCCCATGGGAAACGCCCCGTGAGTGCGAGTGAGACAGAGCGACGAAAAGGACTCTCGGAAGCAGTCTGCTGCCGACACTACCGGCAGGCGAGGATAGACCAGGTGGCCAGGGACTCGGCGAGTACACCCTTTCCCGCCGTGGGGCGTTGCCCCGGCTGCCCGCCCCGCCAGTTTCGTTATTTTCCTTCCGCGATTCCCCCTTCCTGATCGAGATGTTTAATTTTCTTTCAGCGGTTCATTTGTTTCTTAGCGTTCCTTTTGATCCTTTCTGGCATTGCCGCTGGCTCGCGGTACATGGACGTTTGTGTCGGAAGGAGCCCGGCAAGGAACGCATTGGCAGTCTCGCCAACCTGCCAGCATGCTGCCAGTCGGCCGGTCGTCATTGTTGCCAACTGAATATCATACGCTTCAGCGAGCACGCCCTCAGATTAAGTGGCAGTTTCTCATCGGCGAAGTGTGGGACCCGGACTGGAGCACCGTGAAAAAAGCGAGAGGAATTTCTTGCGCGGCATGATTCATCCTGGCGTCCGCAGAGAAATTAATAAGAATAAAATACACATCAGAGTTGCATTGTTCATTTATTTTCTTCGTGGGTGATTTCATTGAAATGACACTGGTAATATTTCTGTACCATGAGACAGCATGTCGGGGCTGCCCCGCCAGGGCCCCGCCCGACTTGTGACGACCGTGGATTTCCTGGGTGATGCTCTGGAGGTGTGCTCGGTGACGTCAGCCTTCCCTCCAGTTCGGTCTCGGCTTTACAAAAGAGAAAAAAGTCTCCGTGCCAGACTGTCAGACCGCCGGGCTCTACCTTTGTCGTTTTCGTGGGAGGTGCACCTGATCCCCACTCATGATCCCTGTCTAAAAGTGTGTTCCCGCCCTTTCCCACGGCCCCACTTTGACCGCGCGCACTGCCGTCGTGAAGGTGTCTGTGTGTACTTTTACAGTGCGTGAGTGCACATGAAAGGGGGAGGAGGCTCTCCGCCACCCCCAACAACTGCCACCAGCTCATCCTGGACCCGTCCTGACCGCCCCTTACAGCTCGGTTATAGGGCTCTACCGTGTGAAACGCACCGGCTCCGCCTTGGACCGCGCGCGCCAACACAAGGCGCACACACACGCACACACCGACACACACACACACACCTGCGCGCGCGCTGGCAGAGGAGAGAAGACGCATCTCTCGTCCGTCGGTCCTTGTACGGTCAGGGGCGTTAATTAGAATGCGGACACCATTACCGCCACGCGGAGCAGAAAAGGAAAAGAAAAAGAAACGCCTCTCTAGAAAGAAAAGCGTAACGATGTCCGCTCCGGCCGGGGCTCGGCTTGGCTCGGCTTGGCTCCGCTTGGCGCTCGGTGAGCCTCGCCGAGACGGACGAGGAAGGCTCGAGGAAGGCGCTGCCGGCGCTGCCACACAATGGACAGACTTAGTTACTCGACGTGAACGCGTGTCCTGTCTGAGTGTCGCGGTGGTGACCGCCCCGCCCACGCCGTACGCATAACGCGTTCCTTGGTCCCCGCGGTCCCCGTGGGTGGACGGACTGCGAATAAGGCAAGGGCCGGTAAGGGCAGCACGAAAGGGCGTGAACGGCGCGACGCGACGTCGGCTTCACGCCTGGGCGGGCCGTCGTCGCCGCGACGCGCCGCGAGGCACATCGTCATCGTCGTCATCGGCGCTGTTAGGCCTCAGCAGACCTTTAGCGTTCGAGTAAGCAACTACAACAAACACAGAACTCAGACTGCAAACCTCAAATGCAGGCTGTTTCTTGTCTGAGGCAGTCACCCTCTACTGGGGGGGTATGGGGCAACCTCCGTGGAAGTATGACCCATCCCAGGTTGATGAAAGTGAGGTTCGTTGCCTTTGGACCCTTGAGTGTTGTGGAGACAGTTGAGGATGCATTGCGGTGTAGCATGGCGCCAGTCCTGCTCCTCTCGTAGTTGTCGAACCTCTTCATCAGTGTACACACTGGAGGCGAGGCGCCCCGACGACCGGTACCGGCGGCGCCAAGGACCTCGCGATGCATAAAGACAGTAGTCGACGCCCCGGACGGGGAGAAATGCCGCTGTCTCAGGTAAAGTTCGGGCAGCCATAACCTCAAAATAGTCGCAGGAGTCGAAGTTTGAATGCGGTCGCTGCTTCCAGCAGGCCTCGCTACCGGGAGAAACCGCGGGTGCACCACCACTCCGGCAACCCTACAAATCAACTGAATATCCGGCTTTTCATCCCTTGATGACATCGCTTGAATAAATTGCTCTCATAAAGTGGAGCTGTTGAACTAATTTTCCAAAATTCCACGCGGAGTCCTCAGTACAATGCCTTTATTTCTGCGCCAAGAGTTGGCCGCCTCGGCAGAGACGCGACTCCAGCGAGCGGACACCGCGTGGCACTGGCAGGCCCAACATATCGCCCGACTGTCGCTTTCGATCCCCGAAGGGCGGCGGCCGGCGCGAAAATGGCTCGACATGTGTGCGGCACACTGTGCGGCAGGCGGCCGAGTACACGGCGCCGAAAATAGAGCGACGTACCTGATAAATTATTTCGGAGCGGGCCGCGTCACCGGGCCGACTGTACTCCTGTACTCCACCTGCAGCGACCGATTGGGTAACATCATTCGGCGCTACTAATCGCACACGTGGATCGCGAGCACTGCCAACTGCACACAATACAGGAGGCGGCGTCGCGTCTTGAGGGTACGCTTTATTTCGGTTGGGTTGGCAGCTCGGGTTTTGGCACACGCCGCTGACAGCCGATTCGCACCACACCGCCG